TCAAAGCAACTTTAAAATAAATAAGTTAGACTTGAATCTTTACTTCATTTGTTTCCTAAAAGCTTTTCTTTTCTTTCTCCTTCATGTGCATTACAAAATGTGTACATATATATATATATATATATTGTAGCACCCGGAAAGGAGGGGAAAAAAAAAAAAAAAAAAAAAAAAAAGGCGGCCACGTCAGCAGCCACGTCAGCAGGCCCGGTCAGCAGTCCCGGCCAACCAGGGCCTGCCACGTGGCAAGACCGCGTCACTCCAAAAGGAGCCACGTTGGCGATCCGCGTGGGTGCGATCCGACGGCCCAGATCAATCGCGCGATCGGACGGCCCAGATTCAATCGCACGGACGGCCCAGATTCAATCAAAAACGAACGGCCCAGATTAAAACGAAATGAACGGCTGTGATCAAAAGGCAAGGGGTTATAAATAGAACCCCCACACCAGACCACAAACCCTAGCCGCCAGCCGCTCGCCGGAGAAGACGAACCAGAGGCCGACCGCCGCCACCCGCCGCCACTCGCCGCCGCACCGGGGAAATTTCCGACCGCCGATCGAGGTAAATTTCATACTCCCGACTCGTTTTTCCCCACTGATTCCTCCTATGGCCAAATCGAAGCTGAAATCCCGGCCAAACGGCCGGAATACGCGGCCGAAGCCCAGCGGCGCCGCCGCGCCCCCTCTCGGTTTTTGCCTCCGACGAGGCCCTTCCCGGCCTCCGTTCGATGCAATTTTTATATCACCGTGATCACCATTCTTTTCTCTACAGGTTGACCGGAGCCGAATCACCAAAACACAAACCTCGCCGGAGAGCCGCCGCACCCGAGAGCGCCGCCGCCGGTAAGCTCCGTTTTTCCGTGATTTTTTGGCCCCCCGAGGGCCCTAGGGTTGTTTTCTGACAAGGACCAATGCGAGTGTGGCCGAATTCGGCCGAAAACGGCCGAAAACAGCCAACCCGAGGCGACTCGCCGCTGCCAGCGACGGCGCCGTCGCCGGAGCACGGCGGAGCCGCCGTGCCGGAGTTGCGATTTGGGCTGAAAGAGGCCCTGGGCCTAATTTGGATTTTTTTTGGAACACGTGCAGGTACTGTTAGTGTGTTTCAGTTTCCCGGGAAAAAATTCAGGGAAAATTAGGGACGGCCTGCAGGCGCACTGTGAATCGTATTCGGATCTCGAAAACAAGTAAGGACCCCTCACCCTATTTCCTATCACGGTATTAAAGTTCAAAATGATAAAACGGTATTTCTTGAATTAACGAATGTGTGAAATTGCTTAAGGTAGCTAATGGAGCCCGAGTCTAGTGTGATTGGTGATTTACTGTTATTTGGCCTGTTTACAGCTTTAAATGCAAAATGAGGTTTGATGTGTTCATTTTACAGATTTGTGTGCATATACTACGTTTTTATTAATCATGGGTTGAATGACTGAAAAACTGATACTGTATGTTGTCTGTTTGGCATGAATTACTGTTTGCTTGTTTGTATTGTGAATTGATGATGCTGACTGAGGAAAAGGAAAATGAAAGATTGTGTGGACTGATAATTGTATTATGGGGGTCAGCCTGACTAGATATCCTGGGAGATGGTGGACGGACCGGGTCCGTAGGGAACCCTACCGGGATTGTGGTCTCACATACCGGACGGGGTATGGAGATCTTATGGTTTTGGCGCCCATACCGGACGGGGTATGGGGACGGCCCGTTTCACCCTCATACCGGACGGGGTATTGAGGTTTATGGTTTTGGCGCCCATACCGGACAGGGTATGGGGACGGCCCGTTTCACCCTCATACCGGACGGGGTATTGAGGTTCATGGTTTTGGCGCCCATACCGGACGGGGTATGGGGACGGCCCTGGAAACTGATTATGAATGTTAAAGGTTAACGGGTAGCGGAACCCCTATGGACCCCCACGGATACTAGTAGTTGGTAAATGAGAAAAAGATATGTTGTACAATGATTGAATTACAAGAGGCGTGATAAGTGTTTATGTTTTACAGCTTATATTATTCCATGATTATGATAATGTTATTGTTTTTCTTATATTGTTTTCATAAATTCCACCGAGGTAAGTGGATGGTAAAGGTTTTATCATAAATAAAAGGATTTGTTGTAAATTATGCTCCATTGGTTTTTTTGTGTTTTTCTACCCACCTTTACCTCCGTGACGGTGAGATATCGTGATGTTCTTACTGGGCTAGTGTAGCTCACTCCTTAATTAACCATTTCAGATCAGGAAGACATGGTTCCCGAGCCCGTTCCGCAGGAGGACGACGAAGGGGATGCCTAGAGACTCTGTAGTCATACGCATAGCTTTATTTTCGAGTTTCTTTCTTAGTTAGTTTAATCTTTTATATTTTAAGTACGTTTTTTGGTTTTTCGTGTAAGGGATGTTAACTGAAATTTTGATCTCGCTTCCGCATTCGATATATTTACATACTCATTTCTTTTTAATATTTCCGGGGTTGTTACATATATATATAAAGTTTTTTTCTTCACGTGCATTGCGAGAAGCATATATATATATATATATATATAAAGTGGTGAAATATAAGATAGAGACAGAATATTAGGTTAGGATAAAACTATAATAGGAAGTTGAATATGATATTATGTTAAGTTCTGTTTTGAAATTATTATGGTGTTAGAAAAAATTGACCGATCCTTAATATTTAATTAATGTCAGATTATATTTCTTAACAAGTGTAAATTTTAAAATTAGAGACACAAGTAGCAGATAAAAAATAGTATTTCGTATAACATGAAATTTTGTCTATTAAAATTCTTATCCGAACTATTTTATAATGTATCTAAAAAGGAAGAAGAATAATTTTATAGATAAAACTTTTTTTTTTTAAAGAAATTTTTTGAAGAAAAGTATATTATATAAGGTATTAAACTTATATCATTTGTATTTCGAGATTAAGAGGGATATTTGTTACAAACTATAAGGGATCAATAATCTTTTTATTAAAAAAAAAGTAACAAAGGAATTATTAATCTTTCTAACTTAATTTAATAGATTTGTAAACAGAAAATAAGTGTTAATCAAACTTTAAAAATTTATTGGTAGTTATCTGCAAAGATAAATATAAAGGTATCCATTTGCAGTTCTAGAAAAGAAAATGTATTCATTTCATGGTTAGAATCTGTAATAAGCAAAACAAATCCTGAAAGGTTAATTCCATTAATGTTTATATGGTAGAAAATCTGCAATCTTTATTTCAAGAGTTGAAGAAAAAATGACGTTTGGTGGAAGGAGAAAAGGCTTAGAAAATGCAACTGCATACATTGAATTTGAGAGAATGAAAAAAGAAAAAACGTTAAAAAAACTTGCCTGAATTGAAAATAAAAATAAAAGTAAAGAAGTTGAATTTGGCAGAAAAGAGTAGAAAATCTCCACCCGTTACTCTCTGTGTCCATTAGTACCCACCAAAATCACTAACTCGCTCACCATACATGGCAAAATCATTTTCTTGGTTGAGCAGAAATGGTAGACAGAGCGTATGATTTCTTTCTATTACAGAGAGGATATGGAATCATAAAGTGAGATGAGCCATTTAATTTAGAGGGAAGGAGACGACGACCGGGGATGATGATGATGATAAGAAGAGGAACCCATGTGAGTTTATCATGAATTTTTGTTCAGGGTGAGAAAAATATATCTTCCTTCTGCTTTTTAAGGGCTATTAGCTTTCATTTATCTCCATTCTTGACGCTTATCTGTGTAGTTCAATTTCCAGTTTATGCATTGGAGTTCTCCGATCATAATATTTACAAAAAGCTACCAACTTTGAACTTGGTAATTCTTATTTGTAAAATTTTCATTGTTTCTGCGCCAATCCCCTTCCCCCCTTTTTACAGTTGCCCTATCAAATAATATTACAATATATATGTGTGTATAAACTTAATTGGGGAACCTACTAACTGGCTATTCTTTTCCATTCATGCTGTGATTGTGCTTGTTTAGATGATTGTGTTGTTTGGTTTAATGTTGTTTTATATGTTGAGGATTGATTTTGAACTTATGGGAACTTTTGGGTTTAAAGTTTGAAACTAGGTATCGCCATGATAACATGCCATGGTTCATTATGTACTCGTTAAATTAGGTGAAGAAATTGTTTGAGTAAAATGTAATGTTTGTACTCTCTGTTACAATTGTTCTTTTTTTTTTTTGGCTCTTCTAAAGCATAAATGAATATAACAACTATGGTTTTGATTAGAAAGAGTAGTTGTGATTTTCCTCTCTTGTCTGATTTCAGTGGGAACTCCACCATCTAGCAGTTTTCCTAATTGGAGAACTCGATATTAGTGCATCTATTTAATTTATTCCTTTTAGACACTCCAAGAGCTTGCAGAGGGGATGTTTCCTAACTTAAATATGGGAGAGGATGTCAATTTTTTGCAACGATGGGACTTTCGAAGGAGAGACAGTGACTTTGATTCGGATAACTCGTCAAGTTCAAGTGATGGATCGGTTCTCAAGAAGCATAAACTAGTTTCCAGCTTTATTTCACTTGATAATGACACCAGTAATGCAAGTAGACTTGAGGAAAAGCAAGACAAAAGCCCTGATAATGGAGATCAAATCAAAGTAGATAAAGCTAAAGTGCCAAAAATCAGGAAGAGTAAAAAGGATACCTTAGCTAATAATCAACCAACGAGAGATTTTGACGAAGAACCAAAGGTAAACAAGGGTAGAACCAGCACTTGTGAGCATACTGCAGTGGATGGTGTTAAAAGCTTTATGGAGTCCTTGGTAGAAGACCTTAAAGTTGCAAGAGAAAATCTATTTAAATGGATGAGAGAAGAACTGGGTTCAGATGATGCAGATGTGCAGCCTCTAAGGACGAAAAAACGCAATACTACAAGGAAGAGAGTCCAGCCACAACACCCAAAAAAATCAAACAGAAGTGTTGGGACACAACAAAGAGGAAAAAAGAAGAATGTGAAAGTTGATAACAAAAATGTCCAAGTGGAAGACCAGAATAAGATTCAGGAGACTGTCCATGTGCAACAGCTGAACAACATTGGGGAAAACGTTGGCAAGCAAGATGAAAACAAGTCTGAAAACGAGATGAGAAGTCAAGCTGGATCCACAATCTTTAAAAGCAGTAAGGCAACTCATTCGGGTAATCACTGTCAAGCACTGGGAGATGTAGCTGCCTATGGCAAATTGATGAGCAAATCTCTTGTATCTGTAGAAAAGGAGAAAGGAAAGAAGCTGGCATCATCTACCTACTCAACTTTTCATCATGCAAATGTCCAAGCACAACAACAGAAGAGCATTGTATTGGGCATAAGAGCTCCAAGTTACAAAAATGAAGGCTTGGGGAAGTCTGTTGAGGGAATAGTATTTGCAGATGATGTTGATCGTGACCAAGTAACTGGAAAGAGCAAAGGAGATCACTTGGGACTACCTATTGAGCCAAAATTTTCCTTCAATCCCTCCTGCCAAGTTGCTTCTTCAATGTACTTAACCTTACCCACCATATTAAGTGAGTCCAGTGTGACAAGCCACAAACCTGATGAATTTTCATGCGATTATATCCAATCGCTAGTAGCTGGCCACAGAGCGTGTGTCAACTCAGAAAGATTAGACCATTCAGCTTCTTATCCTCGGTACCTCCCCGTCCCACAACGAGAGGAAATGATTGGCAGCTTTGCTGAAATGAATTCCAGAAACATTAGTTTGTATGATCAAACCAGTTGTATGACAACTGGATACCCAGGCCCTCTTCATGGTGTAAATGGAGGATTTAGAATTCCAAGCCAAGTCTACACTGAAGATCTACAGCTCGAGAATAGGAACAAAATGGGACAAAGGATCAATGGAGGTGCTCTAGTGCATTCTGGAGGGAGCTATGCTTTAGCAGACCAGTATGTTGCTCCCAAACTTATTAGTTATCCGAATCTTAAACCTCCAACAACAAATGGTAACGACAGCAGTCTATTCCTGGACTAGTTTAACAAAGGCGAATATTGAAATTGAATCAAGCCTCTTCAATAAAGTACGCTTGTGTCAGATCTTGATTTTCTCTTCTTCAAAAACTTGGATTGAAATTCTTCACTGATACTTTTTTTTTTCTTTTAATCTCTTGTGTTTTGGTTTTCAGTTATGGAAAGAGAAGAAAGTGAAGGCTCTCCAAATTCTGTCGCCAAAATTTTGAAGGAAATGTTGAAAAAGATAGTAAGTTCTTTGAACCAGGAAATCAGTTACGAAGGATGTATAAAATGCAGAATAATGTGGGTGGAAATTCTCTTTGACTTATACAATTTTCGTAAAGCATTTGAACTTAGTTTTTCTTGCTCTATTTGATTCATGTATGAAGCCACCGGGAAAAACAATGAAAACCAAAATACATTGTTTTCCATTTGACAGTTGCTATGAAGGCGCCACAGAATTATTTGATTCGTATTATTTATTTTGTTCAATTCACCTAGTTTTATAAGTATCTCCCATATATATAGTTGGCAGTGTATCGATTCATTTTCGAAATATATGGATGGATGTATTTTTTAAACTTGCTACCTTCTACCGTGTCATAACTTTTAAACTAAAGAAAATCGTTTATTAAGAATTATTATGGATTTAATTTTTTTGATTAACATTCTAAGAAAAAAAAAATTACAATCTTCATGGTCAGTACATGGATATTCTAGGTAGATTTTATCGTTTCATAATTTTTATAATAATTAAAAATGTCAATTAGGAAATTACAGATTTTATAATTTATACTTTATTTATTTATTTTAAAATTTATACTGTAAAATTATGAATTGAAAGAAAAATAAAAGGATAAATAATATTGATATAGATAACAATTGAGTAAGCGATGGAGAGAACACCGTGCCTCGTTCTAAGATATGCTGAGTAAAATGGTGGTAATCTTTAAAGAAATTATTCCGATACTTAATTTTATTTAAATTTAAAAAGAAAATAATAATAAAATTATATTTAAATATTTTTCGCTAATCAATTTATGATGCATTTGCAAGGTAAATCCTATTTCATTATGTGGAAAAAGTAATCTTAATAAATGTCATTCAAACAAAAAAATTTCCTACAACACCCAAATTATTGTGATTGGACCAAAGAAAAATGTCAAAACCTATCTAAAAGAGTGAAAAACCTCATCCAATACCAACACCATATCACTTGGCAGCCATAAGAGTTATGGTTTTTGTTACCAATATTTTTCCTTTTATACTTCAAATTATTTCTCAGTTAGTTTACTACTCGTAACTCTTAATTTGTTATATGCCGAAGAAAAATGACATACACCACATACAAAAAGACTTATATTCAGATGAAGTCTTAAAATATTTTTTTGATCATTAAATTTTTGCATATTTTTTCTTTTGAGAGTACAATATGAGCTTAAATAGGATATTACTAAACCCATACAAAAAATCATTAAAATATAAATAGATTATACCATTTTGTGTGAATTTTGTAAGGTTCCAAGGACTTTGTTTATGGTTGAGAACCTTAAATAAAATATTGTATTGAGCATACACCTCATGCATTATTTTAATGCTTTGTTTTATAGTATATTAGTCTAGTAATGAAAAGGGTTGAAGATCCATAAAACTAGTACACAAATTGCAATACTACCCTAATGAAGAAGAAAGAACAATTGTTGAAATAATAACAACTGATGAGACCAAAGAAGAGCTTGAAGCTATAAGAAATTACATAAAAGATGAGGCCCCTAAAACTATAGTTGTTGATGAGGTTGTTAGCAAAAATGAAGGGCCCATACGAAAGTGACAAAAGAAAAGAGAACATAGCATACTGAGAAGATATTGATATATATGTAATGCACAAATTAATTTAATTGTATAAATATAATTTTTTAAATTTTAATTTAGTGTAAAAATAAAGGAAATGTGATGGAGGATGAAATTGAAAATAATTTTAGAAAAAAATGTGAAATTTTTGGTTCTGCGGATATTTTTGAAAGAAAAATCGGAAATCAATGGTCAAAATATAATTTAAAAAAGTTTTGCCACGTATGATGCCCGATTAGCAGCCCCGACGAAGCAGAACGCGCCGCGTGGTAACGGATGCTGACGCGATGCCACACGGGCGATCCGCGTGCCCGCGATCGAATGACCCAGATTTGTTCCTGCGCACACGGATGGCCTGGATGCATTTCTTTCCCAAACACGATCGGACGGTTCAAGATTAGATCGCGATGAACGGTTCAGATTAGATCGTGATGAACGGTCCAAATTCACTGCCTATTTAATCGCGATCGGACAGTCAAGTTTAAACGCGATGGACGACCCAGATTAGATGAGAACTGATATAAATAACTCTCTTTACACTAAACTCTAACCCTAGTCGCCAGACACCCTCATCGAAGAAAAAGACCCAGCCACTGGAAAGGAGAGCCGTCGCTACACGCCGCTGCACTAGAGCCCTTTCTGACTACCAAAAGAGGTAAAAAAAATTTTTTTTGCTCGGAACTAAATTTTAAACACCCCTATGGCTAAATTAGAGGAAAAGGAACAGCTGATTGACCGAAAACTACGGGCAAAAGCTGGCGACGCCGCCACGGAGAATTTCACAAAACGCCTCTGATGTGGCCCTTCCTAATTCCTATTATGCGTAATGTTTCCACCGTTGTGATCACCGTTTCCTTCTCTATAGGTTGACCAGAGCAAAACACCCAACTGCAACGTGGGCTGGAGGGGCCGTCGCACTGGAGGGCCCCGCCGCTGGTGAGTTTTAGGTTTATATATTTTTTTTGCCAACCGAGACCCCTTAACGTATTTTTTCGTAAGAATTGATACAAAATTGACTGAATTCGGCCAAAAACAATCGACTGGAGGTAGACCGCCGACGCGAACAGCGGCGCCTTGCCAGAGCACGGCGGAGCCACCGTGCCAGAATTTTGAAATAGGCCAAAGTGGGCCCTGACACTGTTTTTGGATTTTTTGGGATATTTGTAGGTACTTGTAGCACGTTTAAATTTTCGAAGAAAAATTTAGGGAACTCTGGGACTGCTAGTAGCCGCAGTCAACAGCTTAGCCTTTTAGGCATCAAATTGAGTAAGAATCTCTTATCCTATTCTCTGTTATAGAATTAAAGTCTAAATAAATAATAATATAGTATTTTGTGTAATTTAGAAAATATTTATAATTAATTACGGATTACTATAGTTTAAATGTATGATAGTACTTTATTGATCGATTTTATACTTTTGAATACATGTATTGTTTGATTTATGTGATTACGATTGAATTGGAAAATGGAAACTAAAGAAAAACGAGAAATTGTGTGATTAAGTAAATAGATGAAACGACAACCTTACTGGATATCTTGGAAGATGATGAACGGACCGGGTACAATAGAGAACCTTACTATAAATGTTGTCTCGTACTGGACGGGGTATCGAGACTTGATAATTTGGCGCTCATATCAGACAGGGTATGAGGACGGCTCGTTTCGCCCTCATACCGAACGAAGTATCGAGGTTTAATAATTTGACGCTCATATCGAACGAGGTATGAGAATGGCCCGTAATTGAGAATTTTAAAGGAAAAGGGTTCATGCATAGTAGTGACATCCCTATGAACCCCCATGGATGCCAGTAGGTTGATGGAAAGTGACAGTTGTTATTTCGGTTATTTGAATATGAAAGTATAATATGTGCTATGTTGCCGATTACATATGAAATCATAATATATATAATATTATTGTTTTTATAGGTTATTTTTGTAAATTTCGCTACGGTGAGTGAACAGTAAATAGTTTTATTATTAATAAATGCATTTGTTTAATTATGTGCGCCATTTCTTGTTTTGATTTTCTACCAACTTTCATTTTTGTGTCGGTGAGTTGGCGTGATATTCTTACTAGGATAATATAGCTCATTCTTTATTTAACCATTTCAGATCAAGAGAACCAAAATTCAGAGCCCGATCCACAAAAGGATTGCGAGTAGGATGCTAGTTTTATTTATTTTTCGCTTATTTCCTTATTTTGTTGTATTTCTCTTAAAAGAGTAATTTTCGTGGCACTATTCGGTATTTTAAGTTATTATGTAAGTAATGTAAACCTTAACCATTTATTTTGCTTCCGCACTTAAGTTATAATTTATTTATTTGGACATTCTGATGTCGTTACAATTGGTATCAGAGTTGCGTTTCTTGGGCTCATTCCTTACACAGAACCTTTAGGAAACACCAAAAATAATGAATTATCACTCAATCATTCATTGTCAAATGCACGTACAGATAGATACGGAGAGGAAGACCCCCAATAAACCGACCAACCCAGGAGGGTTCGCTTAGAAAGGATGTTGACTGATTATTTGAGATGGTGGAAAGACTAATTACTGCCCAGCAGGCCCGGGAGGAAATGAGGGAGCTATCTGACCCTCCCTCGCTGCCACAGGTTGAGCCACCCCTGCAACGGGAGGATCCCGAGCCACCCCGATATGATTTTGCTCTTCCATAGTACCATCCGGCACCACCACAGTATGATTTGGTGCCTCAGCCACCACATCACCCAGCACCGCCACAGTATAACCCGGTGCCTCTATTGTATCATAAAGTATCACCGCAGTGCCATCTAGTCCATCCTCAACATAGTCCAGTCCCTCATTCACAGGATCCAGCTCCTCTCCTGATGCACCCAGACTATATAGAAATGTATAAAAAACTAAATCATTCTACTTCTGCAGGGGGATCCTCATTTGAAGAGGTTGAGTTCTGGTTAGCTGAGACAGAGAAGGCCTTTAAGACCCTCAGAGTGATCCCCGAACAGAAGGTCATCATTGCTACCTACATGCTAGTGGGAGAAGCAAACCGCTGGTGGCAACTCAAGCAGACCACCCAACATTTTTCAGTTACTTAGAAATAGTTTCTTACAGCCTTTCATGTAGAGTACTTCTCAGAGCATCTCCGACATCTGAAAGATATAGAGTTTGTACACTTGGTCCAGGGGGACATGATTGTATCAGAATATGCTCGTAAGTTCTTAGAGTTAGATCGATATTCTCC